ACTATGATTTAAGCTAGGAAGTTCAAAAGCGGCACCGCAGGACCACCCCGAAGGACTAGGGACAAATCATGAGTCCATGGTTCCCATGTAGTACTAACGTCGGCCTCACAAAGGTGACTCCGCTGGACTTCGAGTGGGCACACGTAGATCACCGTGGGCAGCCTAGCACTTGCCAGTGTGGAGCAGCAGCACAAGTCAGGCAGACTTTCATCTGAAGCATCATGGTCTGTCGTGGTTGGTGATGCTTTAGGTTTTTTAAAGAAGCCTAGACACAGAATCATTGTTATCATGCCGCTGCCAGAAAGCCCAAGCCACCTGCCACTGTCATCATCATTCCTCTCCCTTTCCTCGTTCTTTCTCGTCGGACATGTCGTCCTCCGGTTCCGCTGACCGAGCAGGACTTCCCCATGGACTCCCGTTTTTTCTTCGCCGTTCCACCGACCCGCAGGACGAGGTCATATTCGATTTTCGTGCGATGGACTATTACCTCGCGTCGGTCTGTGGGATGGAAGACCCAAGTACCATCCTGCAGCGTAATCTCGATTATTGCGAGCAGCTGCCGTCGAACTGTTTGGACTGCCTTCCGCCGGACATTGACTCGCAGGAGGATTTGCAGTGCTTCCTCGCCGATCTGAGCCTTGCGCAGGCATATTATTTCCGCACTGGACAACCCGACAGGATGCCCGAATGGCGCACCGAATGGCTCTCGACTGTCTTTGTACCCGAACACTCGCCGTACGACACGCAGCAGAAATGGGCGGACAGGCTCGTTACACCCATGTTGGTTGTAGCGTGGTTTCTATGAAGGTGCATGCTTTTAAAGCCATATAATATTATAATACATTGATTATTTTCCACAGAGCACATCCCGTAGGCTTTGGTCTTGGCTTGCTGCAACCGATGGACTGCTGTACAAGCGGCCCCCTGCCTTCGCGACACGGACTCCTCGGACGGTGAGTGAGAGAGACTTCTAGATTTTAATAGTTTGTGTTTCTGATAATTGAATTGTTCCCTAGCAGGAAGGACGACGGCTGGCAGATACTCGTCGAACACATGCAGGGCGATAAAATGTTGGAGTGTGGCACTCAGCTATGACATCAGCGCACTCAGTCATTCAAGCATTCCAGTACTTGCACTTGTGTGTGTGAGTGGTTAAACACGCAGCACCCACTGCCGGTCCAGGCTCTGCTTCAAGCAGATACTCGGGGCGGCCCAGCGCAGGACAGACAGCGCCCTCTCCGCCGGACTCCATTCCCCGCTGTTCGGTTCCCGACACCCGCAATCGTGGATGGTCGAGATGCTGAACCGCGACTGGGAGGCCTACCCGGTGGCCGTCCCCGTTCCCTGGCAGGGCCACATGTACTACGCGGTGTCGTCGCACAACGCGTCGGACTTGTACTTCTGCATCACGAAGGGCCCCGACGGACGTGCAACAGCAGAACCAGTAAGATTTTTGTTGGTAAACCTTGTAGTATAACTGAAATACTTACCAAGTCGACAAATTTTCGGACATCGCTGGTTCAGGTGACACGATCGACTTTCAGTGCATCGGACTGTTTCTCAAGAACTCGAACTTGGACCGGGCTCGTGGAACTAGCCGCAGTTCGTTCAAGCACGACGTACCCGCCGGCCAGTCTCCATTTGGAGTTCTGGAGCAGTTCGCTCGCGCCGGCCAGTCTCGAAAGTGACACGTTTTCTGCACTCGGAGTTCAGATCAGTTCGCTCTCGCCGTTCAAAAGAGTTGTCCTGGCACACTTTACATTTGCCGGATGTTAGTTCCTATCGCACTGTTTGCTGACTTAAACTTTTGCGCTTCAGGTTGCTGACATGGACTGGCACCTCTTTGGCGGGGTCCTCGGAGTTCTGGTGCTGCACAGTTTGTGACGATTTGCATCGGCACAGTTGCTGTGTTCTTTCCTGTCACACTCGGAAGCGACAAGTGCTTGAACCACCCGCAGTCACCAGTCACTCGTACTAGGTTTGTCATGTGCTTCATGCATTGCAATTGAGGTCGGTCACTCCTCGTTCGGTTCGCAGGGCACGGCCACACGGCAGGACGAGGACTAAGTCAGGGGTCATGCTTTCGGATTGTGACAAGGCATTCCGCGGACTCTGAGGTAAGTTAGGATCCACCTGCAGCAGACATGGAGCAATTGCCGTAGACATAAAGAGTTAAAGGCCTTTGAGCAATTGGAGTCCGGTTTGTTGCCTGGGTTGCCATTTCAGCATTTCAAGCATCGAGTGCATAGAATCGAGGGTGAGCGGTAAATTTTAGTGTTGGGCGTTACACATTAGATTTGTTGTTTGTGGCTGTGAATCATTAAGGTTAGTTCTGGCCTATTCATTGCGGGTGGTGTCTCCTTAACTAGATCTACTTACAGTGCATGGTATAAACCGATTTCACTTCTGGAAGTTCACCATACTTGTCCACAGAGGGGCTTCGGGTGTGGCTTGATTCAGGAAAATAATCATGAGGTGTACAACTCAGTACTACGACTACTACCACGACTAGTACAAGTACTACTAGCATTGGTACTGTACTACTACTACTACTACTACTACTAGTACTACTACTACTACTACTACTAGTAGTACTAGTACGACCTACTACTACTACTACTACTACTACTACTACTACTACTACTACTACTACTACTACTACTACTACTACTACTACTACTACTACTACTACTACTACTACTACTACTACTACTACTACTACTACTACTACTTACTACTACTACTACTACTACTACTACTACTAGTACTAGTAGTACTACTACTAGTACTACTACTACTACTACTACTACTACTACTACTACTACTACTACTACTACTACTACTAGCTAGCCAGCTAGCTAGCTAGCTAGCTAGCTAGTACTACTATTACTTCTGCTAGCACTACTACGACTACTACTGCTACTTCTAGTACTACTACTACTACTACTAGCTAACCAGTACTACTGCTACTACTACTACTACTATTTCGACTAGTACTACTACTACTACTACTACGACTAGTACTAGTACTAGTACTACTACTACGACTACTACTACTACTACTACTACTACTACTACTACTACTACTACTACTACTACTACTAGTACACTACTACTACTACTAGTACTACTAGTACTACTACTACTACTAATACTTCTACTTCAACTAATAGGGACTGCAATTTCGGCCTACTGGTTTTTCCTTTCTTTAATGAGTAGTGGTACTGCTGCTAGTACTACTCTTCGCAATCTGGATTAGTATTGCTACGAGTAATTACTAGACCAGTAGTCAACCAGCTGGAGGAAGGCGCTCTTGCAATCGCTGTTGTCCTGTTCATATGGAGGACACGGACTCCATTGGCCGGCATCGCTGCCGCTGAGCCTTCTCGTTTCAGGCACTGTGCTCTCGTGCGGTCTACGCTTTGTGTCTTGCTTGCCATGTTCGTCCAGTCACAATGCACTGTGAGACCACCCAGCAGCAGGGCTTGATTGATTGTTTGGTTTTCCGAAGCCGTCCTGCCTGTGCGTTGAGACTTCGTGCAGTCTTATCATCCTTCCCCCGTCGTTCTTCCTCGACGGACCTTGCCCAGCATGCCTCGTGATGCCGGCCCCCGCAAGCCCACCCTCAAGCAGCTGGCGAAGCAGAAAGCGAAGGACATCAAGACCCGGGAGCGCAACGAGGCGACGTTCGCATCCGCCGTTCAGCACTCCAAAAGCACCATACTCGACGTGGACATGCGGTTCATTCAAGACACGCTGACCCAGAACCCGACTTGGATTTCTCCACTCGCTGGTCTGATCCGCTCGGGCTCGTTGAATGGTCTTCTGAAGGACGTTGCCAAGAAGGAGGAGACCGGTGGACTGAGATGGAAGGGCAAGTGCACCAAATGGGGCAGTTTGCCGCTTGAGATGGCGAGCTTAATGCTCAAGCATTGCGGTGTGGAGCTCGCGGAGGACGTACAGAAGGACGAACCCGTCGTACGGACCCTCTTCGAGATCCAGTTCTGGGCAGCCAAGTCGGCGTCCTTGCCATCTCGTGCGGACATTCGCTATCAGTCCACGTTGGTCAAGTTAGCGAGGGCCCGCATGGAGGACGTTGGTCGCAACTACATAGCTGCGGTGAACTCGGCGGAGGCTATCAGTGTTGACCGGGACAGGTACAACATCTGGTCACTTGAGAACAACACGTTGTACTGCCACGTCTTTGCCACACAAGATGGACACCCTCGCCGTTCCCGCTCGGAGTTCGTACCCAACGAGTCGTACCTCAGCCACGAGCTTCCTACTCTCCCGGACAACAAGACGTGGCAATTGGACGACCCTTTTGCGGTGGACTGTGTCATTTCAGATGGACAGCATAACTCGTTGTTCAGTTTTGAATGCGCGAGTTTCTTTCCTACTTTGCCGGACATGAAGGCCAAGTGGACCTTCGACTTGTCGTCGGACGCAGACACCACGGCTGGCCTCGGCGACAATGTGCCGCAGGGCACCCCGTCGGTCCGGAGTGCATAATGCACTCTCTCCTGGTAGTTCAGTGTGTCTTGAGTTTGGGGTTGACTTTACTCGTTGTTCTGTCCAGTTTGTTCACTCGAAAAGCACAATGTCGTTCGCCTCGCCGTTCGACCCATTGTGTCTGAGTGAGTGGACAGGCACGAGTTTCACTGGGGCCGTGAAGCCGGCAACTTGCAAGCTGCATAAAAGAATACGTGCGATGAATGGCTGACTGCAATAATGACTTCCTTGCGGTGCCTTGCAGTATGTGCTACATACATGTTGCAGAAGAACACAGACCCATGACACGTGGTGTGAGCACTGCCTTGCGACATCAGCGATTCGTTGCCGCTGTCTTTGGGCTTCCAGAATAAAAGCTGCATGCCTGCAGAGCCTCCCTTTCTCTTGGTTTGGCAGATGTCACATATACTTCCTGGGACATAGCCTATAAAGTTTTGCTACATTCGTTCACCAGAAACAGACTGTAGAATTGATCCACTCGCTATCAGATGCTGGAGCCCGCTTCTGCCGATGGACCCTCTTCTTCAGGACCTCCAGCTTTTTTCAGCTCTGCGTCGGACAAGCGTCGGACAGTTGCATTTTGCATTCCCTGCGGGACACACGGAAGCCTCAAGGGCGAGAGCTACAAGTTCAAAGAGCCGCAGACCAAGGTAACGGATGGACATCGTTTTTGGCACATGCGTTGGTTTGTGGACTTCCTCGGAGGACACGAGTCTCGAAATTTCCTCGCAGGCAGTGTGTCGACGTTCAGGAACAAGCTCTTCACGATTGCATGGCCCTGCTGGACAGACACGGAGGACGCTCTGAAAAAAGAGATCGAGTCGCACTTTCTCCAGAGTTCGTTCTCCCTCCTCAAGCAGCAGGAGCACGCTGCAAACGCCGAGAAGAAGGGCACCAAACGAAAGGCATCCTCGCAGCAGATGCAGGACGACATGGAGGACGACAACGAGCAAGCGGACAATGAGGAGCACACGGGTGACCAGATGGAAGAGGTAGCAGCTGGACGAAGCACACGTTGTACAGAGTTTGCCACGTCGAGCTTTGCAACGATTGTTCTTTTGCATCAATGGCACCAGGGTATGCGCAAAGATGCCAAATGGAAGAAGCCGGCAGAGGAGGTATCCAAGCTGGCCGGGGAGTTGCTTCAAGGCCTCGCTTCCTTGTTCCTGCAGACCCCGCAGGACTTCTCATTCACGTGGGACGGAAACACTCTGGTGCTGCCGTTCAAAGGAGGTTCGCTGGACGTGGACGAGGTTGTACTGCAAAACAGTTTACTTGCTAAAGTACTACACCGCGATCGTTCCCGATTCATGGACGTGCTGCAGGATGTGAATGTGGACTGCACCCGTCGGACAATTGGAGACACTCGCAAGTCATCTAGTTTGAGGACGAAGTACTACTTGTTGGCGGCTTTGGCACGTGCCATGGATTCGTCGGACGACACGCATTCCTGCTGGACATCTTTGAATGTGAAGCAAGTGATGCAGCTTAGGAGAGAGGTTTCGATTCGAGGGTTTGGAGGGTTTGAAGGGTTTGGAGGGTTCCGGGGTTTTAAGATGTAGGGTTGTGTCTTGAAAGCCCGAAAATTGATATTCCCCCTGTTGTTTCAGGAGCACCTCCGGATATCGTCGGTCGTCCACGAGTTTTCGACAAGAGGTTGCGAGTTCATCGAATGCCACACGCAGGACACTTACCTCCACATTGCAAGGACATGCGTTCACCGTGCAGGACAGCAGCGAACAGCAGGACGAACAAAAGATCAAGAAGCACGCTTCTATGGACGCACACAGGCTAGCACGCATGGAGCGATACGCCTATGTCACGCAGGGCAAGTCAGATTTCCTCTCGACGGACATTTTGTGCGTGGTGGCAGATGCAGTGCACGTGGGAAGTGACGATTGGCTGAACATCATGGTGTACAACCACACGACGGACAAAGTTTGGGTCTGCCCGCCGCAGGCGCTTTTTTTTTTGTTAAGCAACACATATTTCTGAGGCGTTTTAGGCAAGAGGCGAGGTACGTCAGAGCCTTGCTTAAGTTGACCTTTTTGGGTGCCGTTTTCGTAGCTTCTGGGTCCGACCAAAATCGTTTTTCCGAGGGGAGGTACACGTATCCCCGCTCAGGCTCGGTTTGGGGCGGAGTCTTTCTATTGTATTTTATATAAAGATAGGTACACGTATCCCCGCTGACCCCTGGGTTTCGGGATTGGCCTGATAAAGGCTCCCGGCCGCCCTTCTACTGATGAGTAGGTACGCACAGCCTTGCTTAAGTTGACCGGGTCCCGGGTGGAGGCCGAGGAACGCATTTCGGCCACATTTTGGCTGCATTTCGGCCCCCAAAAAGGTACGCCAGATCCCCGCTTAAGTTGACCGGCCGGTCCCCCAAAAAAGGGCCCCTGGGTGATTATATGGTAACAACCTCTGTCGTTTGTTTTGCATGCTGTTGCTGACAAGCTCTTCCTCTAAGCTTTGCTTCACATTTTTCTCTGTGTAGTCAGACCACGCAGCAGGTCCAGAAATCGTCCGTCTTGTCGGCTGAGCAGTGGAAAGCTATGTGGAACAAGGCTTCCAAGAAGTTCCTCGGGATCGAGAAACCCGTTGGACCTGGTCATGCGGAGGACCGGCTGGCCACACTGTCTTGGATGCAGGACATAAACCACGGCTTGCGCCCCATTGGCTGGACTTTTGGCTGCTGCCAGAGCACGCCGGCCGGCCCCGCGGAGGACGACACGAAGGCTAAACGTGCACCGATCATGATTTTGTGCACCGACCAAGAAGCAACACAGCTGGCGGCTGTCTCCTTCTTGAGGAACAAAAAGAGCCTCTGGATCGAACACGTCTCGGACCCCGCCCACAGGTCGCACAACGACGTGGCTTTGGCCTTGTCGGCCGCTGGACTCCTGAAGTTCTGCACATGGTGCATCTCGCTGTACAACATCAGGTATGGAGGGCTCGTGGGCGTTGGCAGAAGCCGCAAATCGCATGAAGGACAACATGGACCCCTCGGACCCGATATTGCTCCTTTTCTTCCCGGACATTCTGCTGGACGCCGGCCTCTCCCCCCTGGACGACAACACGGAGGAGAAACGCAGGTCGTTTTTGCAGACATTACCCGACATGGACTGCATCCGCATCAAGGGCACGAAGGCCAGCAAGAGTCGGTTCAATTCCCTGACGACGGCCCACAGCGCGCTGGACAAAGAGTGGTCGGTCTTGGCTTTAGTTCTCACGGTGGTCTGCTTGGAGCACAACTGGGCAGTTTCCACTAAGGACCTCTTCTCGCAGGACAGCAACCAGGCCCGTGCCTCGGTTCCATATGGTGGAAGCAATTCTTCTGCCATACAGGAGGCCAAGCAAGGCATGGACCAGGAGCGGAAGGGCAGCGCGAACAGTCTACACTTAATGACGAAGTTCGTGATCTCGCAGGACAACAAGACGACAGCCAGGATGATGTTCCAGGTCTTGCAACCCGAAGAGCTTCGTTGTTCGCTCATGCTCAAGCAGCTGCGTTCCAAAGGCATGACGAAGGACTACTACTCTGCCTGGGCACACTGGTCTTGGATGAGCACTGCAAAGGACCACGTCAGGACTTTGTCGAATTTGGAAGGTTTATCTCGTGTCGGCCTCGACCTGACACTGGCACGCGCACAACCCCCGGAGGAGACAGAGCTTGTCTGGCAGGACTCGCTCGCAGGCCAAATGACGCAGTTGACACTACAGATCCTGCGGCTGCGGGCCGGGGCACAGCTGTACCATACTGGAGGTTTCGGTGCGACCGCAGGACTAGTCCATGCTGAAGAGCAGTTCCGTCGGGCAAGCTTGGATTTTTTCAAAGAGATGCAGTCTTGTATCCAGGACACGCACAGTGGTGGTTCTCGTATGGCAAAAATTGCTCGAAGGTCATTTCTCCCAAGGGCCGATTAGTCGGTACATCCTCGCCGATCTTTGCACTACCCGGTTTCAGAGCCTTACGGAGGACGTTGCACACGTATTGACCAGCATTTGGTCGGGCCTCTTGAACACGAAGATCATCGAAGACTGTAATAAAGTCCAGCGCGAGGCCGAGCAACGACATTCGTCGTCGAAGGACTTGGGTCGTTTGGACGGATGGAAGGCTGTGACCCAACAGGCCGTGGTCAAGATGTACGAGAGGGTGGAGGCACTGTCAACGGAGCTCTACCACACGCCGGCAGCGTTTGACGTGGCCAAACTGTTCTGCAAAGACACCGAGAAGAAGAAGATTCAAGCAGTTCGTCGTCGTTCCGATTCGTCGGTCAGCACGCAGGTCAGTGCCTCGGAGGTGCAGGAAGCACAGCTTCTTGCAGACGTGACGAAGACGAGGGACTGGGTCTACCACAACCACGCCGAGGAACAGGAGGTTTTGGCTGCCTTCAGTTTACTGATGAAGGCGTGGAGGGCCAAGCGATGGTCGCTTTGTGAAGAAGGTTGGTGCTCTGGACTTTTGCCCGAAGGAAATGTTGTACTGGCAGGTGCAGACCCGTTGTTCATCGTTCGGACATACCGTTTGGCTGCACTCGCATGGCCCGGCAAGATCGTTAAGGACAAGGACCATGAGTTTTTCGAATTCAACATGGGCGTTCGGTCTCTCTTTTGGATGCACAGCACATCTTTGGACTTGGAAGTGTTGCGGCTGCGAGTTGTTTCACCTCTGCGTGCCTCGGCTGCAGTACAGTTGAACATTGTCAGCCCGACACGGACATTCTCTACATATATATTCGTCCTATAATGAGTGACGATGATTGATTGACACGGAAGGCTTCTCCGGTTCAGATTGTAAGTTTCGGCCCGGGGGGGGTAGCACTGAAGCTATTTTTTATGGGTTTCTGAACAACTCAGGCGATTCGACAGTCAAGGATTCGAAGTTTCACAGAGTTAGGTTGAGTAGCCAAGGATGGCACGTGCGTCGAGGTTTTGGGTATTGACGAAAGGAGGGTGTGGTTGTGTGTACTGCTACCACTTTTTTGGCCATACTACTAGTGCTAGTACTAGTGCTAGCAGTAGTATTAGTAGTAGTAGTAGTAGTAGTACTAGTAGTACTAGTACTAGTAGTAGTAATACTACTACTACTAGGACTGTTGCTGAGATTCCTTCTACTACTGTAAACTACTGCGATTGCTTGTAGTAGTAGTACTACTACTACAAGTACTACTAGTAGTAGTAGTAGTAGTAGTACTACTACTACTACTACTACTACTACTACTAGTACCAGTACTACTACTCCTACTACTAGTATTACTACAACTTCTTCTACTACTACTACAACTACTACTGCTACTACTGCAACTACTAGTAGTAGTAGTACTACTACTAGTAGTAGTACTACTACTACTACTACTACTAGTACTACTAGTACTATCACTACTACTACTACTACTACTACTACTACTACTGCTACTACTACTACTACTACCACTACTACTACTACTACTACTACTACTACTACTACTACTACTACTACTACCCTTTTCGAGTCTTTTTACCAGTCTTCCTAGTGATATCACCGCTTTTTACTGACCAGGCGCAAAACTTACCGATTGCGATCATTTTTTACTAAGAGTGTTGCTGCCGCTACTGCTACTGCTGAGGTCGTTCCACGCAGGGCAGCCACCTCAACAACGGCATCGTGTTTTTTGTGGACAAGAAGATGGGCACGTTGGACTTTCACGCCGAGCAGGGCTTCGCTGCCTGTTCTGAGGCTTTGTTGCGCAGGTTGTGCCAGCACATGGGTTGGACCGCCACCCAACCCAAATCAGGTGTGGACGCAGGACATCAGCTGGCTGTTGCCGCCATGCTCAACATGGACAACTCGTTGGTCGAAGAGGACGTGGTTCAACGAATCCTGGCAAGGCATCAGACTGACAAGTGGATGCCGGAGGTCGACGACAAGGACTTGGAAGCCGTCGTTCGGGACACGCTGCTCATTGGCGAGCAGGACAAGGCCCTCAAGGAGCTCAGTGCCCGTCGGTCCACGGTTTCGGCCAAAAGTCTACGACCCAAGGTATGCACGATGTACAAGAACGCCGTCTCGGACCTGGACAAGGACTTTTGGAAGGCCGGACAGGACACACGCCGACGCAAGACTCAGAAGGCCGAGAAGAACAGCAAAAAGCTAAAGCAGCAGTACGACCGGGTGTACGCAAAGCTGAATGCCACGACGGACGAGCTTGTGAAGAGCATGGTTCCTGATACTGTACAGGTTTGGACGGACCCAAAGAATGGTCGTTGGAAGGTGTCGTACAAGACAGCTGTAGTCAGCATTACACGTAGTATTTCATGGACACAAGTAGGTGAAGCTGCCGCCGGTCGAGCCTGTGTAACACAAGGTTGGTCATGGGTGGAGCACCACGAAGGACGTGACCCACCCGAAAACTTGCAGGAGCGATTGACAAGGTTCGACTCCTGAGTTCACTCGGACTTGACATGCCCGTGATTGGACTTTTTCTCCTCGTAGCACATCGTCGTTCAGCATCGATGCACACATTCGTCGGGCCCAAAAGAGGATTATTCCGCTTTGCACGCGTGTTTGATCCGTGCAATTGATGCTTCTAGTCAGACTTCTGTAATGCACTGCTACGTGTGTGAGACAGTGGCGGTGATGTGGGTTCAAGGTCAGGAGCATGTCGTCCATGCATTGAGCACGTATTTTAAGTAGGCCAGACATGTACTGATATGGCGAGCCAACGCGCCCTCACTCACCTTCTGTGTAACTTTCCCCACGGACACACAAGATAATGAGTAGTCATGTAGCGCAACTGGAAATTGTACCAGAAATGTTTGTACTTGAAACCTAGGTTGTTATTCTCGGTGGGAGTCCATGAGAATTCAGTTTTGTTGAAATAAATGGAACGGAAAGAGTCTCTGTACATGTCTCGACTCGTGGTTCCATCCTCGAAGTATTACTCGTGCCATGGTGGCCCGGCCGAAGTTACAGGAGGTGGGACTGTCACGACGACCCTCGGCATACGCGCTGTTCATGCAGGACATGTGCAAGGACTCTGTGGACCCCAAATCTCGTCGTCGACTGTCCCGGAAAACATCACTTCGCGGTTCAAAACATTATCTGCGCAAGTGGCTTCTTTGCTGCAAAATCAATATAGATACTGACACATGTGCCCCTTGCCTAGAACCCCAAGTCATCTGAAGCCACGGGAAGTAAAATCTTGGCAATTCTGGTCAGGAACCCGAATATGCCATCTTAGCTACGTACCAAAGTTATTTACTTCAGACATAATTAATAAGATGTAGCTAAAAGTCCTAATACAAGTCATGTTACTTTTTACTCGGGGATTACCTTTTCACCCAATCGTCCAGTAAAATTCCTCTGTTCCCCGAGGCACAACCGAAAGGACCTCCGTGACGAGTACACACGCAAGGCCAGGCAGGGCTACCAGGAGAATCGGGTCCAACGCGAAGAATTTCGACAGGCCAAACACACGGAAGTTCCCCCCGCTTCGTTCATGGACAGAGAACTGCCGGACGTCGCAGAGTCGCAGGACTTCGACGGTCGTGGCATTTTTCTCTACACGGCCGAGGACCCACTGGTGCAGGAGAAACATATGGGTCGCGGCACGTACGGGGAGATTTTCGCTTGCACGTACCAGGGCCTGAAGTTAGCCTTGAAAGTGGCCGTTCGCGCGCCGGACAGGGAGACTGCACTGTTGGACGTGCACCAAGACGGTCTCGAAAAGACGTGGGACTTGACCCGTGAGTTCACTCTTTTGAGCCAGATAGGACCTCATCCGAATGTTCTGCGACTCTATGCCTTGCTGACATCCTCGACTGGGCACACGGGAATTCTAATGGAGCGGGCTTCCTGCGACCTCTTGAAGGCCACACGGGACTTGAAGACGGACGACCTTCAGGACGGAGTTCCCTGGAGCACACGACGAGCCCAAGTAACGACGTACTTTCGGCAGACA